ATGTATTAAAGCCGATAAATAATGGATTATGTCCTTGCTGAGACACTTCAGATGCGCACTACTCACCATGATGGTTTTGAATTGCTTGAAATATGATTGAATGATTGGAATCACTTCAAAAAAAAGTAAAACACAGTTAAGTGCAACATGTACAACAATCGGCTACATAAAATTAAACTGAGAACATTGTAATTGTGTGCTTGGGACATGTCTTTTAATGGTGAGACTTTTGTTTTTGTAATACTGCTCTCAAAAATGTTATAAAAATTTGGATTTAGATTTATCGGCCAATATATCGGTTATGGGCTTCTTAAATAAAAAAAATGATCAGTATCGGCCGAAATGTTTATATCGGCGCATCCCTAATTAAATTGCAATATAATTAGAAAATAGCCTAAATACATGACATACAAGTTTCAATAGAATTGACAATAAAGCATATTTTAGTTTACCATCAATGTTTGTCTGTACATTTAACAGTTCAGTTTAACCATATTTCCCCATAAGAGAATAAAAGTTATTTGAAAGTATAGACACAAGATGTACTTAAGTAACTGGGTCGTCAACTATAATGCTTTTTCTTTTAATTGCACTTAACATGCTGTCCGAAAACATTACTGAAATATATCCTTGTGAAGAATATTATTAACAAGTACTAGGGGTGTAACGATATTTGAACCGAACCGAAAAACCGCGATACACCACCCACGATACGTATCGCGATACTCTCATGGCGAACCGAACCCCTGCGGCCCCGCCCAGCCCCGGCTCATTCACCTCATGTGTTATCTGTACACAACGAATACAGGGCTGTTGCCTAACCACCATTAACCACATATAATCGCAATAAGCTCAGTGTTTTGTTACTTTTGATAATAAGCAAGGTGTAATCTTTCAAATTATGTCTATTTGATCACGAAATGCAAACAATAAATGCCGTTTTGGCGCTCTTAGATGTGGCGTGACAGATATCACTGAATGCATGCGGCAGCGCGGACCGCGATCATCTCTTCCTCAGTTACAGAATAAACATGAATGGACACCCGAAGGTATGTTGAAAGATACAGTATACTTACTGAAAGGCATCATAACTCGTGTAAACACTCAATCAGTGTTTCAACAGCGGAAATACGTCAATAAAACGCTTAGTTTTTCACATAGCTTTATATTTACCTCAGGCAAGTCATTCAGTGTCCACAGCTTGCTGGTTTGCTAACTCTTTCACTAAATAAATGCTATATATTAGCCTATATATTATATTTTACTTAACCTGTTTATGATGTCTTGATTATTTAATGTATGTTTAAAATAGTTGTCATGAAAATAACAGTAACTGTGTAAATTATTATATGACAATAACAAATTAGAGTAAAAACATGTTAATGCAAAAATTGCCTTATGTGCAGTTTACATGTTTTCATACAATTTGTTATTTGAGTGTTGATTATTATTATATAATTTAGGTTAAAAGTCTAGGCTATGTTGTTAAGCTTTAATGTTATAGTAATGTGCAAGTAAGGGCTGTAGTTTACAGCATTGGTAAGATAATTTTGTTATCCTTGAGAAACGTTTACTTGTAATTGAATTAATTTAAAGACAAGGACACAATTTGTTCATTAAAGCACTGTTTAATAAAAAATAAAAGCAATTTTAGCTTTCTAACCCCCCCCACCCCACCGAAATGAACCGAACCGAACCGAGACCTCAAAACCGTGGGACGAACCGAACCGTCAGGTTTGTGTATCGTTACACCCCTAACAAGTACGTATACTCATCATAACTAGCCTACTCATTTTAAAAGTATATTAAAGTGCACTTCTTTTCACAAGGGATCACTAAAGGTCATCTTTTTAACCTGTTTTTGCAATGTAAATCAGTACTGTGTAACTGTGATATTTTTTCACTCTAGCCCGAACGGTGGACACTGAGAGACTATTTTAAATGTGCCATGAGTTTCACGGTGTAAGCACACTTTTGCGTCATAAAAATGTGATCGGCATGCGAGAGACCTTGTATCGAATTAAAGGATGTGGTGATCAGCTAGTTTTGATAAGTGAAATATTCCTATAAACTACCTATGACAAGGTGTGACCTCAAACAGGGGTCCAACACCCTATATGTGACTAGCAATTTTGGTAGGTGAAATTTTCACAAACAAGGACTTTTTTTTCTTTGTGTGTCATGTATTCTCTTCATGTGCTCACTGCAAGTATTTTGCTTCAAAGTGACTGAGAAAATGTATTCTTGACCTCCATAGGGGCACGTCAAATAGTGTTTGGAACCAAGAGGCGTCTGATGTGTTGGATTCTGTCAGCCGAAAGAGCTCCATGGGGTTGGAGGTCAACAGGAGTGACAAGCCTGTCTCGCTGAGAGGCATTCTGGGACATTTGCCCTTCTGCATAGTGAGAAAGAACCCCTGTTGCCACTGTGGGTCGATACACACTCACAAGTCACACACATCTCAGTCGCAACACAAATTTAATAAAGGTCTCCTTGTCATCTTCATTTCTCCAAAACCTGCACACATATAGACGATGTACACTTTATTTCTGTGACACACCACCCAATGCAGGATTTGGAGTGAAAGGCGTTTAAAACATTTACAGTTTGCACTCGGAATCTGCAAAATACTGATAATTAAAAAAATAATAAGAGGGATCATAGAAATTTCATATGGTTTTTTATTTAGGACTTCCCGGAAAAAGCTATTTCACATAGGCCTAACTATTAACATATAACCCACAAGACCAAAAAGAACTGAATGTACAAAAATGTAAAAATCTGCCCAGAAAAGATAGATATTGGTTGAAAATGTTATTTTTTATTGTGTTCTTTTGCTCTTTAATCTGTTTGATATCTGTTATAGACCTTATGCACCAGAGAAACGAGGGCGCCGCCATCTAATATTGTCTTTGAACTTCCGTTTTTGCGGTCGCTCTGTATATTTCTATGGCATCGCTGTCCAGGAGTAATTAGCTGGTGAAGTTGATTTACTTATTGTAGAGTTAACGAAAGTTATCATGAGCATTGTAATGTTTAGGATAAGCATTGTAAAGCATATGTCTTAACAAATGGACCTTGGGAATTTTTTTAACGAGCCGTTCATTCATTACTACGCAAGATCGCTGTGAAAATACAGACCGGAAGTCAAAAGACGGAAAAGGAAAAGGGGCGTGGCTGTGTACTGTTTTATATAATGTTCATGGTTATTTGAAAAAAGTTTTAAAACTTGTTATTTAGAGGACAACCCCTGTGAAAAAGAATTGCATTGAATGTGCACTTGTAGTGTATGTACTTCTAATGTAGCCTACTTAATAATATTAATAAAATAAAAGGCACAACAAGTGTATCGGTGAGAACACTCGTTTAAACAACATACATTTGACTGCACATCACATTTTTGACATTATTGATACCATGTATATTATAGTATATGTATATGATTGATACTGCTCGCAATCATAATGCAATAGAATGGTCTACAGGACATTGATATTGCAGGAGTTAATTGTTTTATAGTATTATTTTATTCACATTGTGCCATCTTACAACCCTAACTGACATCGAAATGGAAAATATGATCAATTCTTTTAATGAAAAGGGGAAGCAGACACAAAAAGCCTGTTCTCATTAATAAGGGTTATTTTTAGGTGGAAGTGTCAAGCAGTGGATTTCAGTCATGCATCAATGATTGTGAAGTCGGCTTGTATTTTCTTCTCCTGTCAATCATGTCGACAGAATATTTATTTATTTGTTTATTTCAATTAAACTTGCAATTCCATGTCCACCTGTCTCCACATCAATTGACAGAATGTCAGGTCTTGGAAACACAAACATTTACCTTTTTCTTTCGCATTGCTTTGTTTATTGTTTTTGAGAATATGGGCATGATGGCATTTGCCAATTTACAGTATCCTGCCCTAAAACAATAATTCCACTCTTCTGGATTTATTTAGATTCATAGAAAAAAGGAAACGTATAGTGACTAAAGATTCAGTTAAGAATAAGTTGTTATTAGCCTTGTGAATTTCTGAAGATGATTTAAAAAGATTTTAATAACTTGTTAAATATATCATCATGCACGGCTCATAGGGAATGTGGATGAACCTTATGAATGGGCTTTGGTCACAATTCAAACATGCCCATTAGGAAAGATAGCTAATACATTTGTTCCCCTAGTACATTTTTTGTTTCCCCAACATCAAAGAAATTATTATAAAAAGGTCATTCTCAAAATATGAAAAACTAAAAAAATCAAGAAACATCATAATTTTATAATATGAAATAGACTCAACTGATTTTGCACATTAAAAAACACTTCAACTGCTTGAAACAAAAACCTTATCTCTTTCATTATGTATTGCCTCTATATTTTACAGTTCTTTGATCGTTTTATCATCATACACGGAAAGGGCCTTTCATATTTCCTTCCTCTTTTTGGAACACTTCGATAAAAATGTAGACTAGTGTCAGTGTACAGTGTAATGTGTACCTTAGTAAATTTATTTCGTTCTCAAGTTCAACATAATTTGCTCTTTTTACACTTGCCCATTTGTTTTTTGCCTTTTTTTTCTAATATTTAATACCATTTATTTAGGTTGTTTTAAAAAAAAGAGATTGTAAACAAGGAACCTGCTAAAATTAAAGTGAATTAATTTATCAAAAATATTAATAATTCAATCAAATTTAAGGCATCCTTTACTCTAAAATGTACCATAAAATGTCACAGCCTGTATAACTTAACCAAGACTGGTGTAATGAGACTTTAAGTATACAAACAAAATGATAAAACACAGAACAGAACTAAATAGTGGAAACAATATTGAAACAACCACAGCACAAAAATAATTACATGGTGTTTTCATATAAAGTTTAATGGCAAATATTAGTTGAAGAAGTTAACATTTTGATCCATAATTTCTGCAAACATTATGAGACAATGCCGGAAGTCAAACAGTTAGCGCACAAAGGGCAGGTCCATTTGTTACAAACTTAAAAAAAAAAACATTTCTGACACACATTCTTAAAAATGTTACTAAAAACAGACAAATTATTGGAAGGCCAAGTACAATCCCAACTACTGGCCAGACCAGGCTCGCAGAAAGGAAAAATCCTTATTGTGGAGCCCCATAACGAATTGCTAAAATGTATGTAGTAAAATACTGACAGAACTCTTTGCATACATTTTTATACAAAAATATTGTTGTTTCTGCTTGGTATAAAATACACCATTCAGATGAAAACACAATTGTACTGCATTTTACATGGTGAACTGAAAGTTTATATCCATGTATATAATACAAACTTTCTTATACTAGTTTCTTGTAAAAAAAAAAAAAAGTCCATGAGCTACTGTGTAAGTGTTTGGGATGTCCTGGCCGGATCCTCGGCCCTCTCTCTGGTAAAATAACTGCTGTGCTGGAACTTGATGACTTCGTTTCCCCAGCTGGTCCAGTCACACTGGAGACTTCGGGCAAACAACTCTAAACACTTGGGCTTGTGGCTAATGTACGGCTTTAGCACAGCTGTAGCACAAAAGAGAAAGAATTAGCACGAAAGCTATAAATCAGGGAAGTTTGCAGACCCAGTAGGACAAAACATACCATAGTGAACTACAGACAAGTGCACTGATAACAACAATAACAAAACAACTGGGGTTTTTCCATGCAGAAGATACACTTGTGTGAAAAAGAAGTGCGCTTAATTGTATTGAATGTGCACATGTACTTCAAATCTTAAAAGAATATTGTTAAGAAACTGCAGATAATATAACAGTAATGAAATAAAAGCCCACTTAAAGAGTACACTTTCATCACTGACTCACTATGTTTCTTAACAAACTTAAGTACACTTAAAAAATGCAGTTTGTAAGAATTTCAAATTAAAAGTTAGGTCATGTTTTGATAATCCTTTGTCATGCTCTAAAAAATAAGTGTTGTCTTACATAGCCGACTAAAGCACATGTAAAGTACTTCATTATAATTTCAAATGTAGTGTATTATTCAATATTACACTTCAAGTTAATATAATTATTAATAAATGTTAATAAATAGTATTTTAACCAGTTTCACAGACGAGGGTTAAGCCTAGTTTTTTTAACTGAAAGCAACTTGCACTGACAGATCTTAAAATATGTTAGTGTCATAGTTTTGTCTCAAGATGCACGTTTATAAAAGCATCTTATTTGTCCTAATGGAACTAAAGCCTAATCCTGGCCTAATCTAAGCCCTGTCTGTGAAACAAGGCCAATATGTACTAAAATGTAGTTCATTACAAATGTGTAATTACATTTATAATTAAATGCATGACATGTATTTGTACATTTATCAGTATACATATTTAAATAACACAATTAATTACAATAAAATTACATATAAAAATGTACTCAAGTCCTACTGGTCAAAAAGCACTTTGAAGTTCAGCTAACATTTAACAATTTAAAATATGATTCATTTCCATTTGATTGCAATTAACATGAAGAACAATTAAGTCTCTAAAAACATTACATTAAGTTTGAAAATACGTTTTTTTTTAAAGTGCATTATTTTCGGGAGTACAAAAAGTGCTACCTTATCAAAAGGATAGGCAGGCAGAGACCAAAATGAAGTATAATCTGATATATGAACCACAAGTGAGCTTATATTGCAGAGGCACAGATTTGTTTTAAGCGTGTGCACCTGACAACGAAGGCTTATGAGAGTGCAGTACTGAGGGGACGCTGATCAGAAGCCGCTGCTCTGGAAGCTCATCCACCGCTAAACACCTGTAACACACAATTTTGGAAGCTTTGGAGATTACAATACAAAAAGATGGAAGGAAAGAAGACTCCAATGTGAAACATACACACATTACCTCACTGTGTGGTCAGTGCGAGAGCGATACCTGCCAAGCACCAGCACTTCATAAGGCTTCTTGTGCTGCGAATCCAGAGGAAACACAAACTCCCCTGTTCGGGTCACCTGGAGATTCAGCCAAAATGTCACAAGCTGAGCAGTGTTGGTGACTTTTACTTTCAAAAGTAACATGTTACATTATTGCAGTCCTCTTTAAATCAAGTAATTAATTATTAAGTTTTGTTGTTACTTTATGAAAACCCATTAGTTACTTCAGAAGACTTAGATTAAACCGCTGAATCGCTTTATGAACCATTTTGAAGCTTCAATGGATGGATAGAAATTTCTCAGGTTTTATTAAAAATAACCTGATTTGTGTTTTGAAGATGAACATGAGAATGAGTAAATGATGACAGCATTTTGGGTGGACTGTCCCTTTAACCATCTGGTGGTCTTCAATCATGTTAGACCAAAAAAAAGTTTTTTTTTTTTTTTTTTACTTCATCAGAATGGTTTGAAACTTGCCGACTTTTTTTTTTTAGCAATTGCTATATGAACGCGTGCATATGTGTGTGTGTGGAAATAATTAGAAAAGGTGAAATGGTCCACAAAGATGCTAAATCTAATTAAAGTAATAATGTCTGAAAATACTATTATAAGCAACAAAGGAATACACATCCCTATACAGGTCCTTCTCAAAAAATTAGCATATTGTGATAAAGTTCATTATTTTCCATAATGTAATGATAAAAATTAAACTTTCATATATTTTAGATTCATTGCACACCAACTGAAATATTTCAGGTCTTTTATTGTTTTAATACTGATAATTTTGGCATATAGCTCATGAAAACCCAAAATTCCTGTCTCAAAAAATTAGCATATCATGAAAAGGGTCTCTAAACGAGCTATTAACCTAATCATCTGAATCAACTAATTAACTCTAAACACATGCAAAAGATTCCTGAGGCTTTTAAAAACTCCCAGCCTGTTTCATTCCCTTCCGTAGTGAACTCACTGGTTAGACCAGACGTGGCGGTATTGGACCCCACATTGGTCTAAAACGGGGGACTGAAGGGTTGGTCAAAATCCCTTGCCTCTTCAAATACATCTATAATCATATATCCTTTTGAATGGTTATATACTTCCTTTATAAAAAATCAATAATCAAATATATTCATTATCACATAATAATTTTTATATTCTTTGTGCTTGTGAAATTATATTTTCTTAAATGCATGTGATGTAAGAAACCAGTTTCTTTTAGGTGCATTCCAATCTTACTTTGAGATTGCACGCAGTACACGCAGGACACGAAGGCCACGTAACCCACAAGGCCGTTTGTCTCTTTCTCTGGTATCAGTAGAGGGTCCTAAAGGCAGCGTGGGCACATATGATTCTTCGCTGGACATATGGTCAAGCTATATTGAGCGTTACTATCAAACTTTAATTGTTGTATTAAAATGTATTCTTTCCAGTATATTTCCTTCCTTCGGAGTAAATGCCAGTGATCTGTTTTTCTCCCAAATGAGTGAATGTTTTAGCATTATGTTTTGGTATACTTAACTGATAATAAGGAGCTCAGACTCTCTTCAGCCTTGATGGGAGCTGTTATTTGCTAGTGTCTGTTATTTGTGTGTGTGCGTATGACATAGGTTCTGGACGGTCGGACCAGACACCCCGGCGCCCTTCTCTAACCTGCGAGGCCACCACAGACCTAAATCTAATGAGTGGACGACAACTATCGTGACTAATGGCGATAGGCACCCCTATCTCCTGACATGTGTTAAATTGTTTAGGCTCTTAATGTTTCTTAGCCAATGAGAATCATTCAACCTGTAAGCAATGACGTAGCTTAGACCTTGGAAATGGTATAACTGCTGTGATCTTTGTAACTGTAAGGGGGGCGGCCTACGAACTCCTGTGTGAGTCTTGAAGCTGACTTCTGCAAACTATCTTCAGTAAAACTTTTCTTTGATTTTTTATAATTCTGACTCCGGGTCTTCATTCTTCATATCTGGTTCTGGGTCTTTGACTGTATACCCCTTACAACTCAAAACCGCAATCATGGGTAAGGCCATGTTTACACGGAAACGATCTGAAGAGAAAACGCAAAAGTGGCGTTTCGTTTTCACTTTTTATTCTGCGTTTAGACGAGCGTTATGGGGGGGAAATCTGCGTGCATATGGAGACGCAAAAGTGTTAGAAATGCGATGTAGTATGCACTCCAGGCGGCTAGGTGGCAATGTGAAGCACTGCCACACAACAACAACAAGTCCGTGCGCCTGCGTACAACCTTCCTTCTACTTCTCTCCCTAGTAGCGCGAAATTGAAAAGACTCTTGGACGTTTATCAGAGCTGCTAGGGCAACTTGAAGGTCCGACGTATGGAAATAATCCGACATGTTGGTTGTTATTTTCCTGTACTGGCGCATGCCTGTGACGTAAATGCGTACGCGACGAGAGCCGCCATGAGCAGATTTGCGTTTTTACCCGTTTAGACGGAAACACGACGGTGGAGCGTTTTTAAGATTTCCACTTTGGAGGGTGGTTTCACTTTTTTGCGTTTTTAAGCCCCAAAAACGCCGTCGCCGTGTAAACGAAAGGCACATCCGATAAAATATTATTACGTTTTCACCCGGAATCGTTTTCGTGTAAACAGGGCCTAAGACTGCCGACCTGACTGCTGTCCAGAAGGCCATCATTGACACCCTCAAGCAAGAGGGTAAGACAGAAAGAAATTTCTGAACAAATAGGCTGTTCCCAGAGTGCTGTATCAAGGCACCTCAGTGGGAAGGAAAAAGTGTGGCAAAAAAACGCTGCACAACGAGAAGAGGTGACCGGACCCTGAGGAAGACTGTGGAGAAGGACCGATTCCAGAGCTTGGGGGACCTGCGGAAGCAGTGGACTGAGTCTGGAGTAGAAACATCCAGAGCCACCGTGTACAGGCGTGTGCAGGAAATGGGCTACAGGTGCCGCATTCCCCAGGTCAAGCCACTTTTGAACCAGAAACAGCGGCAGAAGCGCCTGACCTGGGCTACAGAGAAGCAGCACTGGACTGTTGCTCAGTTTTGCATGTCATTCGGAAATCAAGGTGCCAGAGTCTGGAGGAAGACTGGGGAGAAGGAAATGCCAAAATGCCTGAAGTCCAGTGTCAAGTACCCACAGTCAGTGATGCTCTGGGGTGCCATGTCAGCTGCTGGTGTTGGAGCACTGTGTTTTATCAAGGGCAGGGTCAATGCAGCTAGCTATCAGGAGATTTTGGAGCACTTCATGCTTCCATCTGCTGAAAAGCTTTATGGAGATAAAGATTTCATTTTTCAGCACGACCTGGCACCTGCTCACAGTGCCAAAACCACTGGTAAATGGTTTACTGACCATGGTATTAGTGTGCTCAATTGGCCTGCCAACTCTCCTGACCTGAACCCCATAGAGAATCTGTGGGATATTGTGAAGAGAAAGTTGAGAGACGCAAGAACCAACACTCTGGATGAGCTTAAGGCCGCTATCGAAGCGTCCTGGGCCTCCATAACACCTCAGCAGTGCCACAGGCTGATTGCCTCCATGCCACGCCGCATTGAAGCAGTCATTTCTGCAAAAGGATTCCCGACCAAGTATTGACTATTGAGTGCATAACTGAACATAATTATTTGAAGGTTGACTTTTTTTTTGTATAAAAAAAAAACTTCTTTTATTGGTCGCATGAAATATGCTAATTTTTTGTGACAGGAATTTTGGGTTTTCATGAGCTGTATACCAAAATCATCAGTATTAAAACAATAAAAGACCTGAAATATTTCAGTTGGTGTGCAATGAATCTAAAATATATGAAAGTTAAATTTTTATCATTACATTAGGGAAAATAATGAACTTTATCACAATATGCTAATTTTTTTAGAAGGACCTGTATATATATTAAATATCTATGTTATATTTTTAACTTGATCACTGAATTAATTGAAAATATTTTTCTAATATTTGTAATATTTATTTTATATAGATATACATTGTGCATCATTTAGGGTTGAATGTTGTCTAGTACAACAAAATTCCCTTCAAAAGAAAAAATATTATTGAAAATATTATTTTCTTACGGTAAATATGCTTATTGTCTTCAGTCTATTTTGACCTCAGGGTATCATAAGTGAGGAATACCAGAGGGTTAATGGTGTTTCTTCCTCCTAATGAGTGTTTTAGTGTACTTCTCCTCTTCTTGTGCAGTTGTGTTGTGTGTGTACCTTGACCCAGAGCCACTCTGCTAGCACTTCAACTGCCCAGTATGGGTAGAGCTCTTCTTTGACGAAACGCAGATGCTTTGCCCGGTTAGTTACCCACGTAACCACCAAACATTCTGGGGCAGCCAGTGCTGGCACAGGAAGCTGCTTGAGCTGAGAAGATGGCAGAGAACTGTATCTGTCAATCATACCATGATATGATTTCAGGCCAGAGCAGTTTCTTATTGCAGGCAGAGAATGAATCATTTCATATCCACATGAACAGGTATGCATGCATGTCTATGTGGAGTCACGTTACCTGTTGCTTCTTTTGACAGATTTGTTTTCCCATGGCGGATCAAGGATTATAAGGTCAAACTTGTCTCCACCTGTAGTCAAAATGTAGCAATATGCAAAACTCACTAAACAAAATGATGCGAAATTGGAAGCATATAAAGTAGCATAATAAAATGACTAAAACAAACTAAAATTGGTAACACTTTACAATAAGTTCCCATTAGTTAACTCTGGTTAAGGCATTAACTAAGAATAAGCAACACATTTGTTACAGTATTTAATCATCTTTGTTTATGTGAGTTTATGAAAATACAACTGTTTGTTAGTTCATGTTAGCTCAGGTCCATTAAATAATAATAACAGATACTTTTGATTCGAATAATATACTGTATTAGTAAATGTTAAATTTAATATTACCTAAGATTAATAAATGCTTTAGAAATATTTTTTTATTTTTAGTTAATGTTAACTAATGTAATTAATGTTACCTTTTTTTTACCCTGAAATTATTCAAATTAAACCCTAACATATACAAATAAAAACCAATTCAAAATATTAATACTATATTAGTATATAAATAATACTAAAATAACACTGGTCTTGAAAGCTTTAAGCCATTTAGCTGCTCTACATAAAATACTAAATACTCTATTATGTAATAGAATAGTAAATTAAAACTCACTGTTGACAAGTGGATGCATATGTGTGATGTCAGACAACAGGAATCGGCTGCGGGGGGGCAATAGATACTTCTCCCTCATCAACGTGACCTCATAAGCACAGTCGAATGGGTTTTCTGTGATGGATGAGAATAGGTCAAGTGGTGGATCCAGACCATCTCCGTTCAGCGTCTGCACTGGTGCCACAGACTCGTCAGTTAACGGGAGCTGTTTGGCCATGTCACATAAGGCAGCAAGCTGGCACTCGTGTGTTGGCAGGGATTCAGAGGGTGGTGTGATCAGAGCTTCGGTCAAGTATCCACACTGACGTCCAGCTTCCAGAAGAGCCTGGGAGCCCTCCAGAACCACTGACCTGACCTGAGAAGAAAAAAATCAAAACAACGCATTCACAAAAAGAGAGTGTGTGAGAGGAAATCTGTATGCTGGAATGGCAAGCAAAAAACAAATCCTGATGGAATTCTATTGGAATTTCTAACATAATTTGGAATCAGTCCTAAAGGATCTATTTTAGTATGCACTGAGTACATGAAAGATTTACAACGTTTATAAAACAAGACAAGCAATATGCCGAAGATAAAAAAATGAGGACCTGATGAGGTGGTTAATATGAGCAAGGAAAACTGAGCAAGGAATCAAATGTCATTTAAATGTTAGTTTCAAAAAGTCAATTTTTTGGTCATTAATGCAGTTGGTTATGAAAGTAAGTGAGGTAGAATGAAATTCTGAAAGCTCACCCCCCCAAAAGAAAGAAAAAAAAAAAGAAATCTGTCATTAATTACTCACCCTAATGTCATTCCAAACCCATAAGACTTTCGTTCATCTTTGGAACACATGAAGATATTTTTGATGAAATCTAAAAAGCTTTCTGTCCCTCCACTGACAGTCTACGCAACTACCACTTTCAAGCTCCAGTAAGGTAGTAAACACATCATTAGTAAGTAATCCATGTAACTCCAGTGGTTTAACCTGTTTTATGAAGTGAAACGTGAGTGATTTGCATGTTGGAAATTCATATTTTGTCAAATAAATTATGTTTTTTTTTTGTGCAAACGCGAGTGCTTTGTTTGCACAAAAACAATTTATTTTACAAAATATGAATTTCCAACACGCAAATCACTCACGCCACTTCATAAAACCGAGGTTAAACCACTTTGGTCACATGGATTACTTTAATGATGCCTTTACTACCTTTCTGGGGCTTGTCAATAGAGAGACAAAAAGCCCTCAGATTTCATTAAAAAGATCTTTACTCGTACAGTGTGTACAGTACAAAAGATCTCGTACAGTGTGTACAGTTTCCGTACATAATAAAATATACTTTTGTGGCAAAAACCTTGGAAATAATTTGTAATTTTTATCCTATTATCTACTATATTTATTTGCTAGGTGAGTGTCATGGTGGGTTTTGGTTATTTTGCTGTTGTTGCAGTCTGTAAAGACCTTTGAAAAAACTGAAATCATTTAGCGAGAAGTGATATGGAACTGTAATGCGGTCAAGACCTGCCTGCAAACTACTATCTACTAACATCCAAAAGAACTAAAATATATATAATAATGAAACAAGATTGCCAAATTTGATCTAATTTGTTCCCATTAGGATTAGTTCCAAATCATGACATTGTTATGAAAATACAATAGAAATCTGCACAGATTCCTTTTAAGTTTTGTTGACACGGGGTATTTAAGAAATAAATAAAGCATGTCACCTTTCCATGATAAATATGGGCATCTAACTCCCCTGTATTGAGATCACGCTGCTTTCTTTTTCGTTTCTGCAAATAAAAAACAAACTGTTAAGAGTCATAGAGCAATCTCCAAAGCCCTTATAATTGAGCACAGTATATCAACTAACATAATAACAGCAACAATAAATATGCGGCTTTCTTGCTTTGTGTCGCTTTTTCCGTTGCATACCTTTCGTGTTTGAAGATCAATCTTTGCAAGTTCATCACCATTGCTATTTTCTGCCGTGTGTAACGGAATACTGCTTGTCAAGATACCTGTGTTGTGTCGAATTTGAACGTGGGGCTTCAAAATATTAAAATATTCCATCTTGAAACAGTTTTTGAAGTATGTCGGCTTTTCAAGCCCAGCACTATAACAAACACAGCGCTGCAAACCCGCATCTATGTGAGTGCAAGAGTCCAACAGCCAGCCCCAGGAGTTACCACACACAATAGACATTTACACAATACTAGTATTCATCCATATACTAGCGTTATATATATATAAAAGGTTTCATCACATTTCAGGATAAATAAATGATGCTGCTGCTGCTTCTTCTTTTAATGTTTAATTGCGGTTGGCAAGCTGGCTTTTGGCGCATTACTGCCACCGACTGGACTAGTGTGGAGAATCAACGTCAAGCCACAAGTGAGGGAAAATCATGCTATTGTAAATCTCAATTATTACATAAAAAGCATAGGCGGAGTTTGACATTCGAGCCAGGGGGGGCAAAAAAAAAAAAATCATTGTAGCATTCATTCATTCATTCATGTAGCAATCATTGTCGTTCGGACACAATTAGGATAAATGAAATGTGGACCACTTTTGCACTGTTAAAATATTATCTTCAACCAAAACAAAAAGATTTTTAGTTTTTCTTTTCTTTCCTTTTTTCAAAACACATTGTGGCAATGAGAGTGATTAAAGTTATATTTCGCATTTTATTGTACTTCATGAAACATTTAAAACATTTTGAGACACGGGAAAAATGAACAGTCACACAATAGCCTACTCTCCACGTTTGAAACACAATTGTGGCAATGAGAGCGATTAAAAAAAAAAAAAGTTATTTCGCATTTTGTTGTAGCCATTTCATGAAACATTTAAAACATTGAGACACGGGAAAAATTAACGGTCACATAGCCTACTCTCCACTTTTGAAACATATTGAACAGCATATTGAAAGCAGTGTGTTGAGTTTTTCTCCATCTTAAGCAGTTATTTGGCAGAGAAATAAAACTTACAGACCAGTTAGATACTGCTCAGACTAGTGCAACAGTAATTTTCGTTTTTTTGCGTCCTGCGTCGATAATGGTCTCAGGTGAGAGCTTGGCCGTAATGTCGCTTTCGATGTGAAGGATCGCAAGAGAAGAAAACCTGGCTGCTCCCATCGTCAACCGCAGCCTGTTCTTTATCCTCTCATGGAGAGTCGGCCTGGCATGAATAATACAGCGGTTTTAGTCCTTTTTGGGGATCCATGTGAACGGACGTGTCTGTACGCGAAAAACACACAGGAAATTCCTCACTTACCGCGATACTTTGAGATCCGCCAGTCGTGAGAAAATTAGCTTCTTTTTCAATACAGTAATTAAAAATAATTTAGCCTTAACTTACTCATTATACCCGCAAAAATGATAAGATAAGACAAATAAAATGAGAAAATATGAATACAGTATTTTTTTTTTTTTTTTCAAAGCACAAGGCAGGCATTAATTGGCTCTGGTCTGGGGGGGCAGTGCCCCCCCTAGCCCCCCCCAAACTCCGCCTATGATAAAAAGTAATAATTATGACATGAAAAGTATGACATATTAAGTCATAAATAGATTAAAAAGCCTAAGTTACGACATGCCGAGATTATGAGTCATGACACACATTTTAAAATTAAATTGTTAGAGTCAAAATTATGACACACTAAGTGTCATAATAATTTTGACCTTGTATGTCATAATTTCGACTTTTTAAGACATAAATAAAACAATTATGCCATAATTATGACTTTTAAATTTTAACTTTTTAAAGCATGATTTTAGGCAACTCCCCAAGTGAACCCGTGGTCAATCCTCAGAGACGAGTGGACAAGCAGAAGTCCACAAACTGTGATCAACTCCGAGCACTAATAAGGAATGGAAATTCACCTCCAATACATTTGGCCATACTATTTAATATTTGAAACAACCCAATAAATTCATCTTACATTTACATTTAAGACACATTGGATGCTATATTCTATCTATAAGAGGTGTACAATGGTTTTTAAGAGCATTTTCGAATAATCTTAAGACAAAAAATATTTTGGAAATACAAATTATTCTTAACTTTATTCTTAAGTTATAAAATTAGAAGAAAATTCTTCTTTTTCTTTTTCTTCTTCACACTCCATCCCGGTAGGAGGCGGTCATGTGTCAAAAGCTTTTTGCTAATCGCCATAAAATAGTAACGAAGAAGTAACGAAGGATGCTGCATTACGAACTAGGAATTTGGGTGATGTTCCTGGCGCGAAATCTTTAAGTTTATACCCCCCATCAAAATACCTCGTTACACGTTAATATTAGCATATATATTAGCCTGGTGAACGACAGAACAAATCTAAACCTCAAGATAAACATGTCAGTGACGAAGTGATGAGTTTCTATTTGTTTCTGTATCAGAGGTTGCTGGCTACGCAGTAATGTGTGACGAAACGAACATGACCGAGGCCGGAGCGGAGGGAGACCGGGGGAAAAAGACATCGAAATCGGTTTGTGTTTATGACTGTCGCCCGGAGAGCAGCGCAGCGCCGGGGAGGACGATAGACATAGCGAACATGGATTACAATGGCTTTCTGCAGGCTCTGAGACAGGTAAAAAACACTTTCTTTTACTGTCTATGGTAAAGCAGCTGTTTACCAGGGTAAATTACCAGCACGCAGTAGTATGACATCTCTGTCATAAACCTTGTTAACAGGTACATTTAACAGTGACTGGGTTTTCTTTTCATTTTAGGAGTTTTCACTGTCGACAAACGAGACTTTCGTTATTAGCACGACGGACCGAAAAGAGATTGACGAAAAACTTTACAGTAAGAGCTCTGAAATGTCTGAAAGCTAACATAATATTTATTTACTTAACGTTACCTGTTGTCATTTTAGTGGTTGCAGTTTTTAAATGTATATATTTTTGCTTGTTAAAAGTAAAAAAAAAAAAGTATTGTATTTACATATATAAACCGTAAAAGTTTTTAAATAAATATTATATTTATTTATTTTCATTTTCATATCATTTTTATTTGATTTCAAAACTGTAAAAAATAAAGAAAATATCTGATTTAAGTCAAGAAAATAATTAAGGTTTTAAATTAAATATTGTATTTGACTTATTTTCATTTTGTTTACAGTTTTTCAGTGGTTTTTGTTTTATTTAAAACATGTAAAATGTAAATTTGTGTATATAAATGTTAATTTATATATATGTATATAGTATTTTTTCAAAAATGTATTGCAAAACTGAAAATGTTTATTTAATAATAATAAAAAAAGTTAATTTAGTTGTTTACAGTTTTTCATATAAAAATGTAAAAATAGTTGGTTTTTAAAAATGACTTTTTCATGTACTGATATGGATTTGTTTGTGTTTTGATGTAACAGAGGAGCTGGTTGATGGGAAAACCTTGCAACTGTTAAAGTCTGTGAATCAGGAGCTGCCTATGGCGATTCAAGAGCGGATTGAGTATCTGCCGCACTACCATACTCTAGTGCAATGTGGCATGTATGAGTACTACGCTAGTGAAGGACAGAAAGCATTGCGTAAGTTTGCACGCTCACCTCTGCCATACTGGCATACATATACACATAAACATCCTCATAGTCAAATCATCCTATCGTTAGTGTATGAGATCGCTGATACACAATATTATCGTGCAGTGGGGGACTTATCTGCTCCTTTATTCCATCCTTAATTTACTTTTTTATTTATTAATATATTTGATTATTTACTTTTATTATCACAGGAAATGACACGCACAAAACGTGAATAATTTTCCATCATATTTTGCGAGCTAAAAAGATAAAGTTGATGATAAAGAAAAATGTCTCAATATTGGAAATTCAGTTTTAAACCATGAAGTGAGCCAGTGGATATCACACAAGCAATGTGCAAATTCTATGTGAGAGTTATGCCGGTAAAGAAGTCTCAAACTACAGTCAATTATTCATTACAGAAAGTAAAAGTAAAAACTGAGCGTTCGGCCGCTGACGCTGCATTAACAGCGCATATTCTCTGAGACGACAAGAGATGAATCTACTTAAACATATGCTGATAACGGTATATCACTGTCTTAAGTTATTTTGTTAATATTTCTCTTGTGCCCCATATGTACTAAAAAAATTAGAAGAGAAGTATATTGTGTTAAAAAAGTTGTTTTTAAAGGTCAGTGTTTAAAATAAAGCTTGCTTATAACCTTGAAGCTGAAACGGAGAATGCTCGACCCACCATAGACTTTAATTTAAATGAGGGCTTCTGAAGAGTACAAGAACTAGAAGAGTGAAGAGACCGATTTGGAGTATAAGGAATAGATAGGTTACAGAGATATGCAGGGGCTGTCCCATGGTTGCAAGGTTATATGTTAAAATCAAGAGTTTTAAAATCGATACGTGCCTGTATGGGAAGCCAGTGTAATAAATAAAGTACAGGAGTGATATGCTGGCAGAGACTTGTATGAGTCAGTACCTGGGGGGCTGAATTCAGTTTCTTAATGGATCTATCAGGAAGACCAGAGTGAAGTGCATTGCAATTATCAAGCCTAGACACAATAAAGGCATTAACAAGCCTTCCCGCCATGGGCAAGGCGAGAGAAGATCTAAGTCTGGCAATATTTCCAGTTTTCCTTTTAATATGGGCATTGAATGTCAGTAGTGTTATCATAAACGTTGTGTTAAAATGTCAATCAAACTATGATTATGATGTGATTTATGGCCCTATGTTGGTACAGAGTTGTGTGCCTGTCACTCATGACTGATATGTGTCAGTCATGACTGTCGTCAGGGCTCCAGACTAACTTTTTGCCTTGGTTGCACTGGTGCGCCTAACTTATTTATTTAGGTGCACCAGCACAAAATTTAGGTGCACTAAAATTTTTCCTCGTCTCGCGTCACCTTTAACGCCACAATTTCAAGGTCACCTTTTTATCACGCTCCATATACATTCATATATATTATGTAAATGCTTTTAAACAATAATAATAATAATAATTGCTGTTTTTACATTGTTCAAGTTAGGGCAGGGTATTGACACAAATTTCACAATTCGATTCAATATTGATTATTTTGGATATCAGGTACAATACATGGCAAATTTTCTCAAGGAAAACAAATCTCTTAACTAATGCTTTAAATTGGGAGTCAGTTGTAGCCCACTATGCTTCATTAGCCTACTATAATATTGAAGGTACCTGATTTGTACACAAACACTTAAATTACACTTTTATTTATTTTTAT